AAAAAAAAAAAAACACAACCCCCTTTTCGAACTTCGCCCTGACACCACTGCCTGCGTTGAGTTACGAACGCCTTTTCGAACTCAGGCCCTGATACAGTCGCCGAAGGCTGTTTTTTGTGCCCATTACAAACTCCCATGTGACAAACATGCTTCCCCCTTATTATTTATACATCTGTCGCAGCCTGCAAGTATGGTTGTTTTGATGTACGGTCAACCTTAGTATGCTAAGCGTTTTTTTTTTTAATTTGATAACATCTGTCGCAGCCAGCAGAAGTTTGTGGAGTTCAAGGGGGGGATCCTCCTATGAGATATCAGCGTTATCACCCTGGTAAGCAGGTTTGCCTGAACATTACGTTAAAAAGAAGAAGGAAAAAAAAGCGTTGGGCACAAAAGCTTCTCCTGCAGTACGGGGCTCAAATACTTTGTTTTTGACAGCAAATTAATGATGCTGCTGAGCGATTGCCTGGCTCAGCGCAGTAATTCTGGCAGAGACAATTAGATTGCTTCGAATTTCACAATGAGTGATTCTAAAAAAGAAAAAAGAAAAAAAAAGGAGCAGAATCGCCCGCAGAAGATTGGATTGTTGTTTGATCCAATGGAGTGGATCTGTCACAAGTTACCACAAGAAAAAGTTGCACCGAGCTGTGATCAGACAGAGCAAACACTCGATGAGTCGATGGCAAGATAAAGAATTACTTGGTCTGCCTCGGCCACTAGCTGAGGGAATGAGTGACGTAACATACTCAGGAGAAGGCAGCAGCCCGATTAGAACCGAAGGATATTACGCCTTTCACAACCTCGCAAACTCGAGCAAATAACGAGTTCGTCGGCATTGAGTGCAAGTTAATGCCATGGTGCGCACGTGAGCTGCATGTTTGGAGCGTCTTATGGTGTGTGTTTGTGTTTCACACACACACACACACACACACACACACACACACACACACACACACATATCACACGTATCACACGTATCACGCACACACATATCACACACACACACACACGTATCACGCACATATCACACACGTATCATGCACATATCACACAAGTATCACACGCATATCACACACGTCTCACGGAGCATCCGTTAAGAATGGAAAGAGTAGATTGGCATGAACCCTGCACAAGGATGACACGTAAATCAAGAAATACTTCCCCGCCCCCCACCCGAAAAAAGAAGAAGAGTGTCAAAGGAAACTGTGATTGTCGTCCTTTTTTTTTCCCACTTTTAGGTCCGCAACATACTGTGATTGTGGTCCTTTTTTTTTCCCACTTATAGGTCGGCAGCACTAGACATAATTGATTTCGAAAGCAATGTACTTTTCACACCACACCACAACATTGGGTCTCATTGCAAATCCGATTCTTTGCAATGTGATCACCTCGTCACGGTGCAAATCACGAAAAGGAAGAACCACACACCTTTTTTGGCCTTTTTACTTAAAACGATCAGTTTAATATCTGCTGATATCTGACCCCCGCTCCATCGGGCCACATAAACGAACCAAAAAAAAAAAAAAAAAAAAAAAAAAAAAAAAAAAAAAAAAAAAGGAGGCACTCGGAGAGTATGCATTCAAGTCCTTAGCGATTAAAATGTCATTGAAATAAAGCAAGACTGAGGAATGAAGGAGGAACGAGATGATGAGACATAGGTAAGATCCAGCGTGTCATGAAGCGGCATGTCGTGAAGCAAGCCCTAAATGGGATTATTATCATCACCAAAATTCCAGAAAACGTATCCTTTCCAACTCTAAAAAAAACACCGTCGAATCAAAAGCTGCCATATACAGATGGCGCTAGCCTCCACGGCCCGCTCAACCCCCTGTCCGAAACGATGAGCCTGCTAGTAGTACCCATGGCGCCGGCTTGCCATGAAGAGCCCTAACCGGATTATTATCATCTCGCTGAAATTTCCCGAAAACATCCAGGTAATTCTCAAAACAGTATCCCGGAGAATCAAGCTGGCTGTGCCATATACAGCTAGGGCTACGCTCTACAACCCTCTCATCCCCTTGTCCAGTTCCCCACTACGCCTACCCCTTAACTATACACCCACTATTATCATCTCCCTGAATCACGCTGGCCGTCAGAAGAACATGATACAGCGAGCTTACCATGAAGCCCTAGTAACCATGATTGTTATCATCACACCGAAATTGCCGAGCATTTCAGTACCTCTCAAAAATACCCACAGAATTAAAAGCCGCCACATACAGATGGCACTACGCTCGAAGAGCCCTGCCACTATCATCATCTCACTGAAACGGTCGAAATCATTCAGCACCTGTCAAAAACACCCAGAGAATCAAAGCCGCCACATACGGCTAAGCTCTCCGATCCCTGTCATTATTACAGTATCATCTCATTGAAACTGCCGAAATCACTCACTGACAGCAGCACCTCTCAAAAACACCCAGAGAATCAAGCCGCCACAAACGGATGGCGGTAAGCGCTAAGCTCTACGACCCGCTCAACCCCAGTGCTGTTCGCCTTCTATACTGTTAACGGACAAAAAAATCACATCGCAAAAAGTTAAGCCAAAAAATAAGCCCTGACGGTGTCCAGTTCGCCCTCCCTTTCTTTGTCAAAGACCAACCAACTGCGTTTCAAAAAGATGATTAAACTTCAATAGCATGATACCATGCCCGGAAAGAATTGACGATAAAGATATATCAAATCAATGGCTCTATCTTATTAACACTTATAAAGGAGCTTCTGTTTTGTGACACACTCCCAACGCTACACACCCACTCACTACGATCAGACTGATCATCCAATGCGGTCTTTTCCACAGCATAATATACGTCCAGCGTAAATTTCCACGCTCGACAAAGCAACCTCAGAAATCTACAGATTGAAAAAGACGGAGTCAAAACGAATAAACTAGTATAATAAGACCATCGCAACATAGCACACCGAGGGTTTGCACAACCTTAGCGGAATCGCCCACTTACAAGTTACAGCGCCATTCTCGAACTCATCACCTCCTCCAGAACCAGGAACCTCTTACCTATTGGCTATTATAGGCTATAGCAAATAGGTGGGACAGTCTTATTCCACAGCACCCCAAACCCAAACAATCGCAGTCCCCAAAATCCCTCAATGGTTATTTCTCCATATCTCCCTCAGCACTTACCCTCTCCCACACTTGTGTCCCCTTCTCCCACACTTTTGTCCCCGTCTCCCACACATGCGTCACAAACGCCTACATGTGTCCCTCCCACATTCGTCATGAACGCCGAAACAAGCACACTGTCACTCTCCTACTGCTTCAAAAAAGTCAACGAAAAGGAATCTACGTGTAAGAAAATCTACGTGAAGAAAATCTGCACGAAGATCTACGTGTAAGAAAAATCTGCACGAAATCTACGTGTAAGAGAATCTACGTGAAAAAAATATGCACGTGTAAGAAAATCTACGAGGAGAAAATCTACCTAAAACAAACACACAATGTCATTCAAGCGCAAAACTACCAAGCTGCGCACAATCGCCCAAGATCCGAGACATACAAATCTGACAGCAGCTCCCGTCATCATCCCCATTAACCGCAGACTCCCGCTGTTATAATTCGTACCGCAAATGCAGCAGAATCAGATGGCCCCAAGTCGAAGTCGACATTAAAACCAGGTCCTGCTCGAGCAATCCAAATTTTCTGAGGAAGACGTTGAAAGCCACTTCGATCTAACAAAAAAAAAAACCTACATCACTGCTCATCAGACAACAATCATTGGCAACACGTGGCACCACATGCCAAGCGTGTGCGACGCATCGCATCAAAATGATGCTTGACATGGTGAGATGAAACAAACATCCCCTATAATCAAGCTAAGAAGAGGTACGTAATCTGTAAGAAATACCTCCCGTAGATACGATCGTGACACCATCTTACCACGCATAAGGTAGCTGTTCACCTTCGCGCAGAGAACAGTTCTGAGATCGGACTCCTTAACCCACCTGACAGGAGTACTCCAAAAGCCGAATCCTGAATAATTCGCTTTGGCATCTGTAAATATCCTCTCTCTCTCTCTCTCTCTCTCTCTCTCTCTCTCTCTCTCTCTCTCTCTCTCTCTCTCTTACGCATAATTTTGCCTCCCTCTCGATGTCGACCTTGCGATAATGATCGGTATTGCACATGTTCCATCCTGGCCGGCAAGTTTTATCCCGTTCGAGATCACCGTTCTAATCCGGCGACTCTGTTCACATTCCCATCTACGCTATCAAGCATATAGAGGCGAGAGAGAGGCCTGCAACTTCAGCAAGTCTCCTCCCACGAGCGAGGCACCGGCTTGGCTCCATCATCTCCTAGTATGGTATCTTCGAACGAGCCTCCCCCCGGAATCATCGGCAGCACGTGCTCCTTGCGCGAAACGATCACATCCAACAGGTAAGGACCTGGCGCGTCCAGCATCGCATGCAGCGCATCGACAAGGTCTCTCTTCTTCGTCACGCGTGCACAGGGGATCTTGCAGCCCTCTGCAAACTTGCGGAAATCTGGGAAGATCCCTCCTTCGGAATCCACGTCCTCCCCCAAATAGGTATGCGCATGATTGCCCTTGTAGAACCGATCCTCCCACTGCCTGACCATGCCGAGGTGCTGATTGTTCAGAATCATGATCTTCACCGGAAGTTTCTCCACCTTGATCGTGGCCAGCTCCTGAACGTTCATCATGAAGCTGCCATCGCCGTCGATGTCAATCACAGGCAAGCCAGGCGACGCAACAGCCGCGCCTATCGCAGCTGGCAGGCCGAACCCCATCGTTCCCAGCCCTCCCGACGTGAGTAGCCTTCTTGGATTGTCGAATCCAAAGAACTGTGCCGTCCACATCTGATGCTGACCCACTCCCGTGGAGATGACGACGTGTCCTTTGGTCAGCTTTCGTAGCATAGCTATGGCATGCTGGGGAGCTATGGCTTCCTCGTCTCCGTCCTCCCCCTCCGCTCCTCCCTCCTTGTTCTGTGGATACGTCAACGGATACCGCTGCTTTTGATGCTCCAACTCGTTGACCCACGACGTGAAGTCAAATCTGGGCATGCGGGAGCGAAGGATCCTGTTCAGCTCGCCCAGAGCTGCCTTGACGTCGGCCAGTACTGCGAGATGAGGCGTCTTGATCTTGCCCAGCTCGGCTTGATCGATGTCCACGTGGACGATCGTGGCCCTGGCGGCAAACAGCTCCGCCTTGCCGGTCGCCCGATCATCGAACCTCGCGCCAAATGTCAAGAGAAGATCGCTCTCCTGAACCGCGTAATTTGCCCACACGGTTCCGTGCATCCCCAGCATCTGCAGACAGAGGGGACTCGTGGAAGGAAACACACCATGACCCATCAACGTGTGCGTCACGGGCACTCCCGTCCTGGCCACGAACTCCCTAAGTTCCTTAGATGCATTCATACACCCTCCGCCCACCAAGAGCACAGGCCTCTTCGAACTCTGCAGCAGCCGCAAGATCCGATCGAGTTGATCTTCGGACGGCGCACCACATGGCAACCGCTCCAAGAACTTGTCCAACCGCATCYTCTKCGACCASTCAGGAACGCTCATCGCTTGCTGAATGTCCTTGGGAATGTCAACCAGCACCGGTCCCGGCCTTCCTGAGCCCGCCAAGAAGAACGCCTCCCTAATCACCCTTGGAATATCGTCCACGTTCATTACCAGGCAATTGTGCTTGGTGATGGATCTCGTGACGTCCACGATGGCGGTCTCCTGGAACGCGTTGGTCCCGATCATGCGGCGTGGAACTTGGCCGGTGATCGCGACGAGCGGGACGCTGTCCATCATGGCATCAGCCAGTCCGGTGACGAGATTCGTCGCACCTGGTCCGGATGTCGCGATGCACACTCCAACCCGACCTGAGGCTTTCGCATAGCCCTCAGCGGCGAACACCTCCCCTTGCTCGTGACGACAAAGAATGTTCTTGATCGACTTAGAGCGGGTCAGAGCTTGATGAATCTCGATCGAAGAGCCGCCCGGATACGCAAACACATGGTGCACGCCCTCCCTTTCTAAGGCCTCGATCAGAATATCGCAGCCCATACGTGGCTCGTCATCAGCATAACGAGACTGGAAATCAGACGGAGTAGGAGCTGTTAGGCTCATTCCCTTGGCGCTCATCCCCTTGGCGTTCATCCCGTTGGAGCTCGATACGTTGGCACTCATCCCGTTGGCACTCATCCCGTTGGCGCTCATCCCGTTGGCGCTCAACCCGTTGGCGCTCAATCCGTTGGCGCTCAATCCGTTGCTCACCCCGTCACACATTTTGCCCTCAGCAGGCTTCACAGAAGGAGAGGAGAACGACGAGGAGGAGGGAGAGGCAGGTGTCATGGGAGAGACAGATATGGCGGTGGGCAATGGGCATGCATCACACGAAACCATGGTCACACTTGATGACGACAAAAAAATTGACGCAAAGACTCTTGCGTGACGAGCTTAGGATGATGAAAATAGGAAAAGAAGATAAGAATAAGAAAAGTTAACAGCTCTTCCGACAAATCTCCTGACAAAGTCGTCGCCTCCTAAGCGGATAACACTCCCCTCTCTTCCTCCGTCACTGTGCCGTGCCTCCACACTCCCAATGGCCGTCGAGAACGTCGGAGTCATACTCCTTCGTTAACAACAACCGTTAAACGGCTTTGCTGAAGGAGGATCACCGATGAGTCCACATGCTATTTATAGTCGCCTTTCGACGCGAATGGTCTTTTTCTCCCACGAGAACCGAGGCGAGACCGGGGTCCTCACAGTCTACCTGGGAGCCTTTCCCACTCGCCATTCGCCAGCACCTTGAACGCATATGGGCATCATAGTCATCCAGATGCGTTCTCGATTTTGCCAGATGAGGAATGGTGCCCTCACCCAGTTTGGCTTACAGGAACTATGCGCCTGAGGGGACCAGCCCTACCTACCACCTCAATACACCACTGGGGCTGGTCCCACCCGCTGAGCTCTGGAAGGATCGGAAAATCGGGAAAATGAGGCAAAACTAAAATAAACACACCGGAAACAAAAAACAAAAACAAAAAAAACAAAAACAAAAAAAAAAACAAACAATCCGCACACACAAGGCTTCATTCTGCTTATGCTTATTCCGGGTGGGTACAGGCCGCACTGCCGTCTTCCCCCGAACATAACGCACCCTGATAATGAATGTATACAGACTATCTTTCCGTCCCGATGCAGTCAAAATGATGGTGCGTTGTGTTCGGGGGAAGACGGTAGCCCGCAGCGGCAAATCGCCAGAGGTCGTCAACTTCCAGACAGCCCGCAGTGAGACCCCGCGTTTCTAGTGACAAGGTCTCAAGTACCTCTGGAAAAAACCCGTAGAACAGAATCAGGACCGAGCTTTTTCTTCAAAAAAAAAATAATAATAATAATAGTAATAATAATAAGGGCCGAGCTTCTTCGATGGGCCAGTCACTGTGCCTCCCCTCCGCTCCCCTCCCCCTATGAACATCAGCAGTCTCTGCTCAATGCCAGTAGGGGCGACCAACGGCATATCTCTAGGTGGCGGGCGCCAAGCTTGCCCAGGAAGGTACATTAGTAGCAGTACTACTTGACCTGGGGCAAGGTCTGACTACAGTCTTCCCCCGAATACAACGGTCATTATAGCTGTATTTCGACGATGTTTCAGTCTAAATACAGCTATAATGACCGTCCGTTGTATTCGGGGGAAGACTTGTAGTGAGGCGGTTTGGATTCTTCGACAAACCGGAATCTGGACGTTTTCAAAAAGAGGTGCAGAAAATCACGAGTGGTCTGCGTTTCTGCACCTCCGGACGAGCGCGTTCACATTCATGCAATTGAAGGCAACCATTTCTGGTAGTGGAACTTTGCCCCTGGGACTTTTCGCGCAGAGCGAGGTCCCTGTCCAACCTGTTCCGCCACCCTGCAATGGCAGCGGCTTTCTGGCTCCACGTAGACCACGAATAACAGGGGTACTTTTAGTAGGGTTACTTTTAGTGAAGACCTCGGGGATTTGTCTAAATGGTTTTTGCAGGAATAAAAAATACGCGGATACTTGGTGCTTGCATGCTTGGGGATGATTGCTCATTTGCCTACCCGTCCGCCATTGCACACAAGTCGTTAACTTTCGACAGTACCTCAGTAGGTTCTATAGTAGATTGCATGGATGACCTCGTGTGTTCAAATTCGCTCACTTACTGGAATGCCCGGCCGAGAGACCTACACACCGCCCAAGATTGATGAGAGTGAGATTTTGTAGAGTCTGTGGTCGGTGTTGGTAGGTTTCTTAAGGTAAGCTTGGAAACTAGAAGGGGGACCCCGTCGCTAGCTGGAGATCTGGGGGGTTTAGCCACTCGGCACGGGAGGGATTGGGATGAGGGCTCCCCCTTCGAACAGCTCACCCGTGGAAATAGGAACGGTTGTTCAGAGTGAGACTTAGTACGACCTGGGGTCGACCTCTGTCCCAAAGAAACTAGGACCCTATAGAGCGCCCATAGGAAGAGGAACGGTTGATGAGAGTGAGACTTAGTACAAGTATATGGTCAGTGCTACCGTTTTCACCCGAAAATAACGCCCGGGCGTTATATTCAACTTACCCTAAAATGATGTTTTACTCGCTTTTTTTCAAATAGAACGCCCCTTCGAATAAAACGCCCGGGCGTTATATTTGAATGTTCCGTGGAGAGAGTGAGTTGAAGAGGGAGTATAGATGGGTTTTAACGGGCGGAGAAGGGGGTATACATGGGTTTTGAAAAGGGTTGAGTGGGATTTTGACTTCCAAGGGGTATACTTAAATAATATTTTGGCTTTAGTTTTCGTTTTTATTTTTTATTTCCAAGTTTATGAGGAATTTTGGCAAAAGTTGGTCGAATTCCAATCCTGGACAACAATTTTAGTTTCAGAAGTTTTTGATTTTTTTTTTTCCGAATTTTGGGGCCTCACGAAAGTGACCACAAATTTACTGAATATAACGTTCAGGCGTTATAAATGAATATAATGCCCGACGGGCGTTATATGCATGCACAACGCCTGGCCGTTATTTTCTTGTGAAGACAGTAGTGGGGCTCTTGTGTTGGGGGGGATCCCTACGGGATGGATTGGGTTGCCTGCCTCCTATGTTTGTTCACTATTAACAGAAAACAAGAAGTAATAACAACAATGTACACAATGAACAACCTTACAACAAAACAACATTAACAATAGTTGTGCACACAATGGTAGGATGCAAAAAGTAGGTCCACAAATGGGGCTTATAGTGGAACTAGCGCCTGAAGTAACCGGGCGGCAAGGCTCGCTCGAATATGCTTCGCTCGGGGCTGAGTGGGGTGTGTGGGGTGTGTGGGTTTCAACTTAGCCCTGGTACCTGCAACCACTGTTCGGTTAGGCCACCCCCACACTAAAGGGTGAGGATCCTAAGTAGTAGACATTAAGGTAGGCGAACGTCACCGGGAGAAATCACGAAAGAGGTAGGTTTGGAGGGAGTTCCGCCTGCTGAAGGTGACTCGCATTTGTCTATAATCCAGGCACGGCCCCCGGTATGGTCCAAAAGACGGTGCAAGTTATTTCCTGACCATTTGGTTCAGGTTATCAATGTGTATGCAATGACATGTTATTTGTTCTTTGGACTATCATCATTATACTGAAGTGTAGCCTAACTTCAAAACATACTTCCTTCTGCAATGATGATGCAAACTTACCAAACTTAATTATAGCATCAGGCAACAACTTAATATCAAGAATTCCTATAATATTGTGCAGGGGATCATCGAGAAATTGACGAACTCGTGCATTGTAGTCGAACAAAAATTGGTAGAGGCTTGATAGAATCAAAGGTCATATGACAACAATGCATCAATAAGCGTGTTGTGAGACTCGAACCAGCAACCTACACGTTGATGAATTGCAGTCGTCTAGCCTTTGAACATTGTGACAACACCTCTGTGGAAAGTAGATGAATGAAATAGTCATAAGAAAAGGCTTAACATCATTGTGCAGGGGATCTTTGAAAATTTATCAATTCAAGCATTGTAGTTGAATGCAAAATTGGCAGAGGTCCCGCGGAATCAAAGGTCGGACGATGGCAATCCATCAATGAGCTTGGTGTCAGATTCGAATGAGCAACCTACACCTTGATGAATTGCAGTCGTCTAACGTTTGACCATTGCGATAATACATTTGTCAAAAGCAGATCAATGAAATACTCATAAAAAAGGGTCAGGCCAGACGACGACAATCCATCAATGAGCTTGTTGTCAGGCTCAAACTAGCAAACTACACCTTCATGAATTGGGCATGTCACTCTCTAAAGTTAGGTTGTAGCCTAACTTTAAGAAATTAAGCTCCATTCACAAGGTTTATAACCTTCCTATCATCAGATCCTTGAAAAATTGACAAACTCATACATTGTAGTTGAACAAAAATTGGTAGAGACCTGATAGAATCAAAGGTCATACGACAACAATGCATCAATAAGCTTGTTGTGAGACTCGAACCAACAACCTACACGCTGGTGAATTACGGTCGTTTAGCCTTTGAACATTGCGACAACACCTCTGTCGAAAGCAGATAAACGGAATAGTCATAAAAAAGGCTTAACATTAGGAATTTTTATGATACTTTGCATGGGATCTTCGAAAACTGATCAATTCAAGCGTCGTAGTTGAATGCAAAGTTGGCAGAGGTCTAGCGGAATCAAACGCTAGACAATGGCAATCCATCAATGAGTTTGTTGTCAGAGTTGAACGAGCAACCCACACCTTGATGAATTGCAGTCGTCTAGTGTTTGACCATTGCGACAATACATTTGTCAAAAGCAGATAAATGAAATAGTCATAAAAAAGGGTCAGGCCTGACGACGACAATCCATCAAGGAGCTTGTTATCAAACTCGAAGCAGCAAACTACACCTTCATGAATTGGGCATGTCACTTTCTAAGTTCGGTTGTAGCTTAACTTCTACAAATTAGGCCTCATTCACAAGGTTTATAACCTTGCTATCATCAAGTACCACGTGATTGGGCACGTCGCTCTCTACGGCTAGTTTGTAGCCTCATTGGGCAGGTCGCTCTCTCTTAAGTTAGGCTATAGTCGCACTTCGGAAGTTATGGCACTCAACGGAAGTTAGATTGTCAAAGTGCGGTTGTAGCCCAACTTTAGAGAGCCACCTTCATCATGACAAAACTTACCAAAGTGCGGTTATAGCTTAACTTTTCCGTATGGAGTGACCAAATAGTAGATTTGAAGCTCATGATTAAATTTAGTCATTTGTCACGTTATGCGCTAAAGTTAGGTTATAGCCAGACACTCAACAGAAGTCAGGCTATAACCGCTCGTCACGACAAGCTGCCTTTTCACGGAGTCGTTTATGGAAGTGCGATTGTAGCCTAACTTTCGTTATCCACCTCCATTATGACATGATTAACCGAAGTACAGTTATAACATAACTTCTGCGTATGCGTCGGGTGTCCAATGAGCCTCATTCGGTTCTGAAGAGGGGTATAATGAGGGTTATCGTAAGCGAAAGCGTCGTAACAAGAAATGTTGGACTTTCAGATGCGAACTCCATCAAGTTAAACAACACCGTTGTGGAAGGACTCCTTACCGTCCCAAGAAGTCCTTCCACAA